CAGTGTACGTGTAGAGAGTACGAGAAAGCATACGAAATTTTTGGTATCTTATTGTAAAAAGTTTGGGGAAGACATTGGGTGAAACAAACGATAGTGTAGGTACTGTTTAAAATGTTTATGTTTATAAGAAAACGTGATGCAAACCGTTTTGAGAATATTGCTTCACAAGTTGACGGTAAAGTAAATGTTTCTTAACTATTGAATATTTCTTACTGTACGGTTTCATGCTAAAAGTGAGTTACTATTTACAAAAGGTTCTATTTATTATCAATTCGCAGGTTACAGTAGTATCATGTGTAGGGTTCGTATTGAAATTAGGATTTATAGTATGCAACAGTTTGCTACATTTTAATATTTAATCTCAACGTTTCTCTTCTAATTAAATCTATTGAATCGTACACACAAAGCCCTATCAGCTGTCTGCAGGGCCACGACAGGAACTTGATGGAAACCGTAAATTTACAGACATCACTCATACATCGAATTGCAATTCATACACGTATCTTCTCTTCGTACGGTCGTATTTGTCAGGTTTAATTGTTGCAGAGTGCAGCAAGTTGGTCTAGTGGCAGAGCTCGGATCTCTAGCCCTGGCTTCGGAGCCCGAGATACCGCGTTCAAATCCCGCCAATCACCAATGTGTCTTATCTATGATAATGCCGTGACCCTCTAGGGACAGCCTAAAGTAATGTGTAAATAGAATCTAGCCTAGTGTCCTAAGATGTGAAGGTAGGGAAAAACATTATAGGCAGCAATAAGGGCTTGCTCACAAGCAACGGCTGAAGTATTAAAAACCGCGGTGTAGTCATACTTAAGTTATCAGCGCTAGTGCGATATCTTTGTGTACAACAAATCCCAAAAATATATAGTTGTTCATTATTTATTAAAAGTTTAAAGATATTTATTGCCTTCCCCAATGAAAGTTGGCCTAATTCAAATTCAAATTTTGTATTTGGCCATTAAACATTACATAATAGGCTATGTCTAATATACATAATTCAATAAAATAAAAATGCAATCATCACCAGAGATTGGTTAACAATACAATCAAACCATGCTTAGTTTAAAGTCAACCAGCAGACAAAATAAAAAGTTAAATAAATCGGATTAAAACCATGCACAACAAACAAACAATTCTGATATATGCCGAGAATATCGCGAAATCTAATGACGATTGCTATCTCGAAATAGGGCTAGAGATTAAACAATGCTATCTTTTATGAATAAAGACTCATTTCAAGACGTAATTAGTTTTGTGTTTGTGATAGATGCGAATAGATATTATTAATTCTATAAACCACCGCATACTCGAATATGACGTAAAATAAGTGACTGATACACGGGACATCGTACGTTACACATATTCCTCCTCTGCATAATGTCGAGACCTTTATTAGGTAGAAAATATAATCTTTCGACATTGATTTCTAGATACACCGTTTGTGATAAACACATTAACAAATTCATAGATCGTTGCACTACACTCTCAATTGCATTTAGAAAATTCATCATTAGGCAAGTTTCCAATAGTTCTGCAAATCTCGCGTATTAGATAACGGTAGCGAAAAATTGCATTCATTCATACTGCATTGTATTATTACACTGCTGTATTATACATCACTAGTATACATTATGCCAGTGCATCGACTATCACAGTGTCAGTGTAAGCAGCAGACGACACGGGGCGGCTGAGTTTGTTGCCCCGCGCTTTTTGCGCCCTCCGTTCGCTCGTTCATCACGGTCGACAAAAAGCGCGGCAGCCCGGCTCAGCTCGCCGCCGCTGCGACGTTTTTGCCGCCAAACGTTTTTGTGCGCGGCCGGGCCGCCCGCTCTGCTGCGATCAATACTCTCATTATGACTAATTAGTTATCCACCGCACAACGCACATCTGCACATCCACACGGTGCACAATAGTGCATATCGAATGGTCAATTGTGTTTATAGTTTCATACTTGTGGTGAAAATTAAGTTAGCAACTTATACAGAGTTAAAATTATCTTTATCTTGTTACTTCCTCGTCTTTGCCGTTGGTATTACTGTTATTTTTGGAAACTTTATTTCTCACACCTATTTGAATTTATCTGTGTTTATTATACATAACAAAGTAGTAAACTTTTATTAAAATTGCAGCCCTATCTCAAACTTTAATATTGTTTATGAAGTTTATGGTTTTCTGTTATGAAATTCGTTTATGGAGCTTAATCCTTAAGAAATTAAAATACCACCTTCAAGCAAACAGACATTTTCAGAAACTTAAAAACCACAGCAATGTATTAAGGAACAGTTTCTACAAATATGAATTCTAAAGCAATATGAACACACAATACCTTCTCCATATCGTATGCTAATAAGGCGAGGTAAAAAGTAAGCTTTGGGAAGAAATCCTCTTTTGTGAATTGAAAATGTTGAAAATTACTGTTTTGTGGGCAGATAATATAAAACTGAAACATTTCTAAAATTTTCTTATGATTACAAGAATGTAGGTACATTTAATATTTGCAAATATAACAATCTATCAAACGTTAGCTACATTTTTACTATTGTTTTGTAAAACTACTGGCTAACTAAAAACTTTTTATTTTGCTCCACTAACAATTAAAGAATTCTCCAGATTGAGGAAAATGAAACAAATTGTGTGTCATTATTTCCAGCTATGTTCAAAATTGCTTTCGTTTTTGAAAGACATTTATTATTCATTTTTTTATTTGTAACCTTGATAGTGTTTATTATATAGCATTGTATAGGCTGGTATAGTCCCGGCCACGTAAAGAGAGAAAATGTCCAGGTAGACCCGGTCAGGCCTAATCCGCCGTTGTCAAAACATAGCTATTGTTTTGAAACCGAGGGGGCGCGCTACCCCATCCCAGCGGTCATTGCTACCTCAGCGGTCATTGCCTGCTGCATCTCAACATCGACTAGCCAATCAACGAAGTGACATAGAATTGCGATTCAAATTTTGTGATATTCGTCTTCACTTTGTGAATAAAATGACCTGTCACTTAATTATAGGCGATCACCCGTTCGATTTATAGAATTTGTACTGGTCCGAGTTATTTCTAAGAATTAAAGGGAGGCAGTAGCAATGACCGCTGGGATGGGTTAGCGCGCCCCCTCGGTTTCAAAACAATAGCAATGTTTTGACAACGGCGGATTAGGCCTGACCGGGTCTACCTGGACATTTTCTCTCTTTACGTGGCCGGGACTGTAGTGTTTTGGGTAGTCAATATGAGGAATTAGGCCCCTATTACACGAGGTAGCCTGGCGACGTCGCCAGCGACCAAACTGGCTACTCAGCTTGTCATGGGGCATTGCTTCTTATGGATGTTATTACACGAGGGTAGCCAGCGACGCAGCCACACTTTGGCGACCGACTGGCTACCGAGCCCCGTCGCCACTGTGGAAGCCACTGGCTACCCATATTGGCGACGCTGCGTTGTAGCATATGGAGCTTATTACACTAGGTCGCCAGTATCACATCGCCACTCGGTTAGTTCATATCACGGGGGTACTTGCACACTGTTGTGTTGCGTTCTGTTGTGTTGTGAGTGTGTGAATTGTTCACTTCAGTTGATAAAATGTCTATATCATCCTTTATGACTCGAAGAAACTGGATTGTGACATACGAAAATAATTGAAACATTTTTTATTGTCCGCACAGAGCTCATCAAAAAGGGTGTAATATAACCCTTTTGATTCTCTTGCACTAAGCATTGGATGAACGTACATTTTTCTCTTCCTTTGCCTCCTTTTCTTCAGAAGTAACAGAAGGAGAAAATACTTATAATCACTCATTATTCACTGTAAACACCGCTCATAACAAGTACAAGTGCAAGACAAGCACTCACAACAACGGCGCCACGGCGGTAAAATTCTGGCTACTCAACTGGTTATAGGTTTGGTGGCCAGTGCGTCGCCAGCTACTGCCGCTGGCGACGTCGCCAGGCTACCTCGTGTAATAGGGGCCTTAAAAAACCCTAGTTACATCACTGATATTGTTTCCAACCACAATATCTAGTTTCTATTCTGTATAGCTCCACTAGTAACAGTGTACCACACAGGTGGTCCAGGAGTTAGCCAACCGAGCAGTTTTTACTTCTTCTCGCATTATCTAAATTTGCTATGGATTTACTTTCCACCCTAAGAAATCTTGACTATGTAATCTCTCTTTTCTTTCCTGTCCAATCGTTGTGACCTCTATCAATTTCATTTTTTACAAGTCTTAACCTAAATTGTTTTTTAGACATTTGTTTTTGGTAATCGTGAAAATTTGATACTGGGATTGTACTTACTAATAAATGCAAAAAATGTACATATCAATAATTATCTATAAGTACTAGAGAGTGACCATGGAATTTTATTCCTGAATATTAATGTTTAAAGAAGATGATCTCATAGAGACGTTTGGTAATTTACAGAATGTCTAAATGAAAAAGGGGAACTAATATTCAATGTAAGAGTGAAAGGTAGTCAAAACATAGTAGTTTTAAACATCTAAATCATTACTATCATTGTATGTAGCCTAATATTAAAAAATAGGCAAAATAATGACTTAGGCTGGAATTGAAGTAGATTTACCCTTAATCTTTCTGTAATGACAAATTCAAACACAAGCTGGTACAAAATCTCCTTTGACGTAAGGTCTAAAATCCTTAAGTTTGGCATGGGCTGCCACAAGAGATTTAGGCCTACTGCAAGATTGCAAAACTTCTATTGAATCCAAGTTCTTACAAACAAAGATTACAATTTATATATCAGGGATTTTTTTTATAAAATATAGTTTGAGTTTTACATTTAATGGCTGAGTAATTGTTTAGATTGGTACAGCACGTGGAGTAACAATATTTCACCAAAGGAATTATCTGTGGTTGTTTCAAGTAAAGTATTTTTTGTGAAGTCGTGCAGGTGCTGAGAAATTTTTTTTTATTTCTCTAAAATGTAACCTTTTTAAGCTAGGCTATGTTTTCTTAACTAAATGGCTACATTTGAGTGTTTTTGTTTCAGCAAACAGGCTTTGTTCGATGGCAAGAAAGCTATTCGAGGAGGCATTCCCTTTGTGTTTCGTAAGTACTTTTTTACATGATCTGGCTTTTTAAACATCTTCAGATTCTTTTGGTCCTGTCATAAACTTTTTAATAGCTTTCATTTTAAAATCCTTTAAAGTATTTTACTAAATCGTTTGTTAGGAATATAACATATAATTTATTTTAAATAGGATTTTGCATTTTTCAAGTTTTTGTTAAAAGCTACATTATTTTAGGTAAACATTGCTGTTGAAATGAATGGGTTATTTACTCATATTATTTATTGTGAAAATTATCAGTCTACTTTGCAACTTCAAAACCCATAATTTTGGTTCTTTTTTACAATTTTAGTCTTTTGGTGCTAAAATTTATTTTAATCTTTGTAAAAACACTGACCATTTAACCCTTGTTAATTTGTAACATGAGTCTTTTTCGTAATGACTTAATCAGTAAAAATTGTTTGTTTAATGTTTACTAGGCTAGTATATCAAAGCAGTGATGTTATTTTAGGTTCTTAAGGCATAAACCGACTACTGGCAAGATAAATGTTTGGGAATTAAATCAAAGTGCATCTATCAATGCATAAAAATGAATTAAATTTATGTAAAACTTCAAAGTGAAGTTATACTTTTCATTGGAAGAGTATTCATCAAAAGGCAACTTGAATGCGCCTCAGCATAACAGCTGTTTTGGTTAAACCTTTAATTTTAAAGGTCCAATGAACTTTTTGTTTTGTGGACTAGTCAATGCAGAACGTTATCATCAAGTGTAAAATAGTTTATACTAGCTGAATACCCGTCCTTCGTACGGGGTTGGCTTATAAGTATAAAATGCTTATTGCAGTTATACTAATGCTTTGTGTTTGCAATGGAAGAGGTTTTGAGAAAATTTGGTTCTTTTAATTTACGGAAGCTATAGTATAGCACATATACGATAGCCATAATGTTCTACCACTACACCTAAACAATAAAAAAGTAAAAAATCGAATATTCGCACAATATCAAAACATCATTTTATAAATTAAAAACATAATCTTAACTGTGAACAATCCTACTTTAACAGTTCTCATTGTGCATCACAGCTTCAAATTAGTTATGTTGTCAAAATGAAAAAAATGTATAAGTGCTACACCCTGTTGGTGAACCTTATAACTTTAAATAATATTGAATATCATAGAACAACTTGAGTAATTGAAACAGCTGACAAAAATCCCTTTTAAATATGAATACTCATAAGGTTAACATGGGAAACTCCAGAGCCACTGGGGCGGAGCCCGAAAGGATTTTTGAGATACGAATACGTCTATATGTTAATCGGGAATGTGAGCTAGCATCATACCAAATTTCAGCCCAATCCGACCAGTAGTTAATGCATGATTGAACTTCAAACAAACAAACACACAAACTTTCACATTTATAATATTAGTAAGATTGATACCAGTTTATAAATTTAGTTTGTATTGATTAACCATTTTCATTACTGACGTTTACAGCCCAGTTCGGCCCGTGGAGTTTCGGTCCGCAGCACGGCTTCGCTCGCATCATGAGGTGGAACTTGGAGAAAGCTCCTGAGAGACTGACCAGTGGAGATGTGGAAGCCATCTTCTCTATCATGGACAACGAGTTCACACGCTCCATGTGGAACTATCCGTCAGTACAACTATCATAGCACTTACACCAAGGGAATAATGCAAAAAATCCCTAAAGCTTTTGAGAGAAGCTTTTGAGACATGGTCAAACATTTCCTGCTCTACGAGTAGCAAACCACAGTAGGCCGCCTCTTAAACGACCCTAACAGGGCTGGAGCTAAGTCTTATAACTCAAAAGGTCGGTCAAAACGGGCAATCCCTAAAAACTTTAAAACATTAGGGGGTCCTATTCATTTGGAATCATAAAATCAGTATTCTGAAGTTGTGTGTGTAATATTTACTAAATAAACTACACTTATCTCAATTTTTCCTTAACTATTGTCGATAGAAAAGTCGACAAACCCAAAACAAATAAAGTTAAATACTATCAGTGGTATTAAAGCCGTAGGCAAGAGTCAGTAAAAATTCTTGTGTTAACACCTTTAGTAATATTAATTGATGCGTTCCAAATCCATTATTATAATAAAGTACAGAACTTATTGACGACATTAAAGATAGAAGCAACCATGAGACAGGATATTTATAGCCTGTAACATCCTGTATAGTTTAGCGTATTGTTCCCATCGCCGAGCATTGGAGCGGAAATGCCGAACTTCCTAGAAAGCTGTGGTTAAACCAAACTGCTCTCAAAACAAGCTCGGTTAAAGCAAACTGTAATATTTTTCTAGCGAGGTCAGATATAAACCGATTATTGGTTAATGTGAGGTCGGTGAAGGGGGTTTACAAACCTTAGCATTTTTGCGCAATTCGTATAGAACTGCTAGGAATTATTAGTATTATTGATCTTGAATACGCTACTTAGAAAAGTACTTAGTGAACACCAATTGGTGGGAGGTGTTGTAAAAAGCCTTTGAAAATATTAAATCACTAATCGTATGTTATGTATAACCAGCTATACAAGATACATTTATAAATGTATTTCTGAGCATTTGATATCAATATGGATAAGCTTTTGGAGTACACAATCAATCAAGAACATATGTATAGTTCTTAGAATTATCTGGACTTTGATTGGCTTGTGTGTTTGAAAGTAGACAGCATGAAAATGGCCTGATGAAATTTGATGTTATGTAGAAATATTTATTTAGGCTAGAATGCAATAGATGTTACAATCTGTTTTACCGTTTTTGTGCTTTCAACTGTATTTTGTATTCGTGGGGAAGGGTGGGGAAGTCCTACCCCTACTTTGACATGTTGATCTTTTGTAGCGCCCACCCAGCCTGACTCTTTAGTAGTCTTGACAAACTGAGGTTTTTGGCAAAGCCTAGCAGCTGAGAGATGCTCAAACAATCTTCAGGTTCGATTTGTGGCTTTCCCAGAGATTTTCACTTTCTTAGTGTCAGTGCCATACCGTCCAGCTATAAGTGTAACTTATGGAGTTTTCCATCTTGTTTTTGCAGAACCTGCATTGGTCTGTCAGTGACTTTCCAATAGTACTTAAGTGTTTCCTTGGATTAACATTCTAGCCTGTTTTGGCTCAGTATGCCTTTCCATTTCTTTTTTGAAGGTCTATCAGTATTTCTGAGGATCTTAAGCCGGTGTTGGTCATCCAGGCCTCTGCCTGGACCTTCATGAACTTTGTTTTCTCTCAAACTAACATTAGTAACACAGTAGGACCCCCCTGTAGGACAGTAGTTTGGCCCTGTAAGCTGTTTATCTGCACTCTTCCTGGCCAGGGCATCAACTTTCTCGTTTCCTTCATGTCCCAAGTGCACTACAACCCAATCGATCTTAACTTCATGTGGTGTTCCTTTAAGCTGGGTTTTCCTAGACGCGGAGTCGGCCAGCGGAGAGCGGACAACGGAGAGCGGAATTGAAATTAACATGGCATTCCGCTCCGCTGCTAGGAAAACAGTAACATTAAATTACCTAAGACAAGCTGAGTCCGCTCTCCGTTGTCCGCTCTCCGCTGGCCGAATCCGCGTCTAGGAAAACCCAGCTTTAGAGGGTTTTTTGCACCCCTTTGCTGGTTCTGTCACATATGACAGAATCGCCTCATGTCTAGGAGGGTTTTTGCATGGCACTCAATCGCCAGGACCACTAATTGAAAGACTGTTGATGTGCTACCCACGGCTAGGGAGTTATTGGTTTGTACACCCCCCCCCCCCCCCCCACCCTCGATCTCCTATCCTTTCGCCTTCCCTCTGTGTATAGTATACAAGGCATGCCCTGGCCATCTTGAGGTCACTCTGGTGCCAGTCGCTCCTGTCCCATATCTGGCGTTTTTTTAGTTCCATATTCATACTTGGGAAAGCCCTTGGTATGGACAAGTGTCCAGTCCCTCGCTGAGGATTTAACTAGCCACTGCTACTTATCTTGAGGGATGTTATGGCAGCACGTTTCTTGACTTCCTGCCCCAACGGACGCATGCTCAGATTGCTTCCAGTACTGCTGTCAGGAATGGTTTCATGGTCCCACAGACATCAGAATCTTCTACAGGTTCTGAAGGTTCCTGCACTTTATGCGAGGGCTAGTCAAGGTGCCTGTTCCATGTGAGTTTTTGATCAAGGAAGACTCCTAGGAACTTTGTTTCCTTCACAGTATTCACCTTTTTTCCTCAAATTTCTGGGGGAGGTTTACTCTGCTTCTTGCGAAGGAGACAAGCCCAGTTTTGTCCGGGTGAGGTTCTCCACAGTGTTTGCACATTTCCCTCTGACAGTAAGCACTAAGTCAACTTCAATAGCTTGATGGTCCATGTCCCTGCATCCAAGCTCCCTCAAGATATCATCCACAATCAGAGCCCCCACATAAGGACAAGATGACTCCTTCTTGGCTGACCACGTTTTTTTAGAGTTACCGCCAATCTCTGCCATGACTTATCTGCTATTCAAGATCAACAATAACAATCCAATATGCTATATTCGGGAGAATATCCCTGCTCCTGACTGCAGCTGCTATGCAGTTGTAGCTCACGTTATCTAAGGAATCCTGTATGTCCATTAATAGCCTCAAAAGGATCTCTCGGTGCTCCCCGTCTTCTATCTTTGGAGCTAGCCTGCTTAGAGCCTAATTCAACTGTATTAGTACCGGTAGTGTATTTGTTCATTCACGCTAAGAATTCTTATGTGTAGTCAATGGAAATAATGTATTAGTAACCTAATATATGTGCAGTTATTATAAGGATTGTTGTGGAAATTCTTCATCACAATTATTAGTATTTTATTACTTTGTAGGTTCTCTAAGTTTCCTGTATACTATACAGTTCTCTGTGTGGATTTTCTTTAGTGATTTTCCAGCTGGATTTGTGTACCAAGAAGACGGGTTCAGATACCAGATCCCAAAATATTAAAACTGGGTAATAAAAGTCCCTCAAGTAACATAAACTTCTCACAATCAATAAACTTCAAAGGAATAATCTAATAATCATTGCTGTATGTTTTGTACAGGTTCCGACTGACCTACAGACTGATTTTACGTGAGAAAGAGCTGCATTTCAACATCGGAGTGTACAACCCCAGCAAGGACCTGACGTTCAGTTTCAACCTGTTGTTGCACACATACTTCAAGGTACCAGACGTTCGACGGTGTCAGATCACTGGACTCCATGGCTGTACTTTTATTGACAAGGTAAAACATTTGACTGTCTTTAATTGGTTCATATGTATGTTTACTTTGTCAATGGACTTTGTCTCCCTTATTCTCAGGCATTAAGCCCTTTCTATTCAAACCTATTTCATATTTTTGTTATGCCAACTAAAGTTGACATGCTCAGTAATTTTTTTTTTTTTTTTTTTTAAAGGGTTGTTGAGAATCTTTTATAGACCCACTCATGGAAAAGTCTTAAATGTGTGCCCATTTTTTGGGAATCAATATGCCTCCAGATTGTAATTTTCTAATTACTTTCATATGCTATCTCTTTTGGGAACGATTCCTGTCAGGCAATGTAACATCCCCATCTTATCATGTCCTTGCACATAAAAAATCTAAACATAACCAAGCATGTGAATTTGTTTACATAGTGTTCATTTCGTAACCCTACGGCTTTTAAAATGACAAAAATATTTTCTGCAGACCAGAGAAAACTCCATGTACCAAGAGGGAAGGGAAGCAGTTACCATAAACGAGTGGACAGACCGAATCTACCAAAACACAGCACAGGTAATTGTTGGTTTGATTTGCTAAACTAGAATTGCTAAAATAAGCCATAATTGTTATTGTTGTAAAATATTTGTGCAATATTGTAGCAATGTCAAATTATGACAGGTGACTCATACCGTATACTAGGAGGCTACAATTAATTACTTAGGCTACATGGATCATGTTAAATAAAACCCAAAATACCTTAATCTGTGTATGCAATTTGAACGCAAGCAATAGAAGCAACTCTAATGCAGGATAAGAACTAAAAGGGCATTTACTGAGGTTAGGTTGTAGACTGAGGTACTTTTCCTAGCAAGATACCAATCCGGCCTAAAAACTAGAATTATAAACTCTAGAGTTTTCAGGTCTTGAAACTTGTTTACTATTTAGAACAGTCTGAGTTGTATTACCTTACCTGAATACTAACCAGTATTAAATCCAAATCATTTTATAATTTAATTCTATTTCTTTCAGGAACACATAATAACCAATGTCGTCTCTGGACGCAAAATGAGGATACAGAAATACAACTTTCCAGATACTGGTAAGTCACTAAATGTAGGAGGCTAAAATTCTCTTAATCTTTAAATTAAAATAACTTTCTTCATTTAACAGGGTGTCCACATTCTGGAAAGTCAGGGATAGTCAGGGAAAGTCATGGAAAAATAATTTAATTTGATATTTGAAGGATATTATTGCAACAGTAGTGTACAGTATAATAAAAATATTACAACTCAAATTGCAATACAAATATTGTTATAATATTTTGATTTGTCTTAAGTTATATCTTTTTTGTTAAGCTAATTTTTTGAAACACTGTAAAATCAATAAAAAATTAATAATAAAAAGTATACAGTAAGGAAAAAATAAAGTGAAGAGTGAACTTGGCCAGCTATGGGGACGGAGTAGACTGGGTTTTCTTTTTTCCTTCCATATTTTGAATACCATATTTTTACAAAATGTATTACTCCATTGTTATCTGTTAATACATATTTCAGTATTTTCTGTGAAATAACGTGTCTAGGCAGTATTTAGTGTGTGTATGTTACATTATAATTTTCGAGTAAAGTTCGTGAGTCATGGAAATCAACGGTAAATGGTCATGGAAAGTCATGGAAATCAATGACAAATTTTCTTTGGACACCCTGTTTAAGGATTTATGCTGGGAAGCAACCGAGGAAAACCCGTTGTCGCTGATGATTTTGTTGTACAGGCTACTTATTTGGAATATTATGTCTTTGACAATTTTCTTTAGAATGATTGGCATTCATTCTGAAAAACCTTTTTTGTACATATTATGTTATTTACACAGTTTGCATATAGCCCCCTAAACAAATTTAAAAAAATTACCCTCCTACATTATTGAGAATGTTACTTTCAGCAGTCAATTTAATGGTCCAAATTATGTTTTAGTGATAAGCAACAATGGAATAAAAAAAAACACAGTGACATCAAAGATTTCAAGATCCCTAACAAGGTTTGTGTAGCAATGTGTCCAGTCGTGTAATGTTTCTGTACATCAAACATGTACTGGATACTCACTCAACCATAAGAAAACATGAAGACCTTTAATTGCTTCACGATTAAACCTTAATAATTAAGATAAGCGGAATTTATCCCTAAAAACATTTTGTATCGGTGATATCAAGTACGTCAATTCCTTATGCTTCAGTGACTATGGATTCAATAAGGATTCTAGAATCTGCTAGGTCATAGTGAAATCATGATCATATATTGTGATTGCAGTGCAGTATATGATCAAACTGTATATACAGTTTTCAAGATCGCTATAACATCCCAAGACATCCATCTCAAAAATCGCAGCACTAACTTCCGCTTTGGCAGCTTAATTAAGACCATCTCCCGTGGTCCTAGCGGGATCGTCGTCTTCTGCTTTTCGAAGCTAAATTGTGAACATCTACAGTTTTGGGAGCATGCACATCATCTTCCTTCTTATTTCAGCTTTAATTTTCTGACTTGGTGTTCCAAGTGTTTGGGCTAGGCTTGGCTAGGTGACCCTACACTACTGCCCCTTACAATTTGTTGCAATTTGCCTGTATCTGGCCAAAGATTCTTAACCCTTATCAATGTCACAAAATATATGCACATTTCACCATGTAAAAATTGTGATAAACTGAGAATCTAATTTTGTTGTTTAAGTGGGGACCCTGATGTAACAGTGATTGTTGTTGTAGTGATATGGAACCCCTGGGTGGACCAGAGCAAGGAGCTCAGTGACTTTGGAGATGATGAGTTCCCCAACATGGTGTGTGTGGAGGCTGGCCATGTGTCCAGTCCAGTAGTGCTTCTGCCAGGAACTGCCTTCGAGGCCAGTCAAATCCTCCAGGTATAACACAATTTTATCATACTAAGTTGACTCATTCAACATTATAGCTTTTTGAAATTTAAAACGCCTGTGTATTTGTATCTCTTTTTCAGTATTGAACACTAAGTTTAAAAAAGTGTACTAGGCCTATATAAAATTAAAGTTTCTAAATGAAGATGGTGAATAAAAGCTATCATGAAAAAAGAAGAGATTGTTTACAATCAGTAAATGTTCAATAGTTTGTTTTGACTAGAACCGAAATCTTACTTGGAAGGGTTATTCTTTGAAATCTCAGGATGGAAATATCAATAAATGCTGACAATTGGTTACTTTAACACAAAGTGGAACTACAACAGGGCCATCGCGTGGTTAGGGATTCGGGGCGGGTGCGTGGGCGAAGGGCGCCTCGGAAGCTGCAGCTATAAATAAATAAATAAATAAATATATCTTTATTGTCACATAAACGTTTTACAGATTACATAGCATAAGCTACAAAAACAGGTGACATTGTCAATATAATCATATATCATAATAAGTACCTAAAATACTAAAAAATAAACAATGATTCTTACAAATAATTATTTGGGTTATTTTATAAAACATAATATTTGCTAATTTAAAAAATTACCATCATTCAAAAATTCGTCAATACTATAATATATTTTGTTTACAAGAAATGAGGCAAGGCTGCTTTTAAAAGACGTTTTGTTTATTAAATCTTTATATTTTGGTTGCAGTTTATTAAACAATTTCTTTCCCATATATTTTGGTGTTTTTTCTATTAATTTTAATCGGTGAATCGGAAACTGAAAATTCTTTTTGAAACGGGTGTTATATGGATGGTCAAAATTCTCCGCACATAAGTTTTCAAAATTTGATTGTACCATTAATAAGGATTTAAAAATGATTAAACTTGGTACAGTCATTATATTAAGTTCTTTAAAAATTGGTCTACATGATTGTTTTCGTTTAGCAAATGTCATTATTCTTAAGTATTTTTTTTTGAACTTTAAAAATCTTTTCTATTTCTGATGAGAATCCCCAAAATTCAATCCCATAATGCAATATTGAATAAAAATAGGCATAATATATCATTAAACGTGTTTTCATATCCAAAATATTTCTCAAACAAAGCATTTGGAAACAGGCAGAATTAAGCTTATGTAATATGTTTTCAATGCACTTGGCCCAGGTTAAATTTGAATCAACATACAAACCTAAAAATTTTGTACATTTGACAGTTTTGGTTCTTGTGTTATGTATGAAATTTTGGGATTGTATCGTATTAAATTTTACTAGTTGTGTTTTTTCTGGATTTAATTTTAGTCCGTTTATTTCAAACCACCTTCTAAGATCCATTAAAGCGTCTTCTACTTTCACCCATAAATCATCCTCCGTTTTAGCTTTAACAACAGCAGTTGTGTCATCTGCATACAGTATTAAATTATGAGAAATATTTTCAGGTAAGTCATTTATATAAATTAAGAAAAGAAGAGGGCCTAAAATAGAGCCCTGTGGGACACCTACTCTAATTTCACTCCATTCAGATTTTGACTGCAAGCCTCCTTTTAAAATAACAGTTCTTTGAAATCTACCTGTTATATAAGATTTCAACCATAAAATAGATTTCTTAGAAAATCCATAAATTTCCAGTTTTTTCAAAAGAATGTCATGGTTGACACAATCAAAAGCCTTGGATAAATCACAAAACACCCCCATTGTACTCTGTGACTCATCCAAGGCCCATGACACTTCATTAACAAAATGGGATATAGCGGTCATTGTGCTGCAACCCTTTCTAAAACCAAACTGTTTACTACTAAATATATTGTATGTTTCCAAGAAATTATAAATTTGTTTATAAGCAATTTTTTCAAAAATCTTGGAAAAAGAAGGTAAAAGTGATACAGGCCTATAGCTTTAGGAGGTGCCACGGTAAAAGTAGGCCAGAGGTTTAAAAAAAATTGACGTAAATAGTATTAAGTGTGTGAGCGGCTAGATTTTTATACCAAGCAGAACCTAGTGTATAAGCTCGAGGGATCAAGCACCAAGTCAAAATATCTAGCTCGAGCTTTTAACATTTCTGTGATCGAGGAAGATAATGATCATGTTTTGAGACTGTTGCGGATGGTCAAGATTTGGCGCCGATTGCGGAGGATGATGATTATATTTAAGTTACCAGAGGAGATATATGACAGGATTTGGCTTGGGCGCAGAAAACAATGATGATGTTTTCATGGCAGCAGGAGATTTTTAGGATTTTTTCGCGTTCGCGGCAGACGGTGATGATAAAATGTACGACCGCAGGAGATAATCTTTTTCCGCAATTGCAGAAGACCAATTGACACGATTGCAGAGAATAGTATGATTTTGCCACTATCGCAGAGTATGGTGACTATATTTCCGCTATCAATAAATATATATTAAGGATTTTGTCAAAATCACATAAGACAATGATGATGTCCATAGAACTGCAGAAGGTAATCTCGATTTGACCATGATTGTAGAGGAAAATGATTAATATTCCTGTTACCGATGGATATATTCAGGATTTTACTGCGATCACTTAAGAGGAAGGAATTTTTTGTGACCCGGGGGTATTCAGGATTTTGCTGCAATTGTGGAAAACAATGATTATGTCTCACGTAAATTGGTATCCCAGACAGCCACGCAACCCTGTTTTGGGGGGGATGGGGTCACCTGAAAAAAAACCTGCCCCGGGCCCTGGCCTGAACTACAATTATAGTTTGTTGAGGGCTATCTGTGAATTAAAATCTCAATAGAGCTCCCATAGCAAATAAACAAGTTTTACAACGGAGAAGTTTTGCATTGTGTAAGTCAGCTGCGAGGTCAGTCATCAAGTCTCTTTTCAGATGGTGGCCAAGCAAGAGGGATTTTGCTAGTACATGTATCCCTCCACCTTGTCAATCCTCCACCTCTACTGTATATGACTACAGCTGATTGTCTGTCTATAGGTGATGTGAGTGGAGGGGAGTGGTGGAGTGATAGGTGGAGGTAGGTTGGGAGGTAGTGTACGCCACACAGGTCCAGTGGCTGGAGACAATCCTCCACCTCTACTGTATATGACTACAGCTGTTTGTCTGTCTATAGGTGATGTGAGTGGAGGGGAGTGGTGGAGTGATAGGTGGAGGTAGGTTGGGAGGTAGTGTACGCCACACAGGTCCAGTGGCTGGAGACAATCCTCCACCACTACTGCAGTATCCTACATCTTGGCACACCCTGTATATGACCAGTGCTCCTGTACATCGACTACTGCTAGAGAAGACTACAGATGAAACCTCCCATCCTCCCTGCACTCAACAATCATGTGGGATTTGCTCTCTGAACTTGTGAATCGGACGTTGTTACTACTTTTGAACTGGTTTATCTCATTGTTGAGGTGTAAACAAAGCAAACATATGTCAATGAAAAATTACTCATGTACCACTGATTTTACTTAAGTTTTTAAAGTAATATTTTTTTAAATCACTTTGCAACCTTTTGTCAGTTGTATTCTGAATATTGTAAGTTCATTTTGTGTAAAGGTTGTTTTTTTTAACTAAAACGTAAGATAAAAGGTTGTCAATTTCCTTGTCGATTGTTATTGTTAGCTTAAAACGCATCACTTGGGGTCTTACTACCTCTTTGTGCCGCTCAATTTTACGCCAAAGTGAAAATATTTAATCACATAATCTTGAAGAATAATTAGGGTACTTAAATTGTTGTTAATGTTAGATTATTTTGATTTGTTGTTTCTTTCTACGTCAGTATAGCTACTGAATTTTACAGATTTTAGTTTTAAATTTTGTTTGATAGGTAGTGTAATTTAAAGTTCGGTGTCTTTTCTATTGCTATGCTTACGTAATGACAATTTTTGTTCAAAATAATACTCTAACAAGATTTTCCTACTTTAAGTATTTGAATTACTAGAATATTATAAATGGTGAAATTATATTATTATTGGTAGGCTACTGCTTGGTTATTTGACTCTTCACTCAATATGTTCCTCATTGCGTTACGATTGTTAATTTTGAGATAGTTTGATATTATTTGTTAGATTTTACATGTTTTAAATTCATCGTTTCATAGGTATTTAATTTTTGCACTTAATGGTTTTTCTTATGTTTTGTAGGTTTGTTGTTTAGAAGCCTCCAAGTAAGTGAATTCACATTTCTCTGTTTCATTATAAATATTACTTTTATAAAATCCATAAAATCCAGGAAAATATTGTTTATCTAAACTCTCACATCTGAGTTTATAGTGTTAACAAATATTTGTTAAAAGTGCAAAAAATACCAATGAAAAAGACACATCTAAAATTCTGAATTATAGAGACTGCAAATATAAAACACGCATAAACACTTTATTACACGGTAAAGTTATTAAAGTCAAAACTCTATTATTGATTAAATTGATATCAAGTTTACAAACTTCCTAACAAAAATTTTTCCAAACATTTAGACAACAAAATGTTTTAGACTTTTGTTTACATCATTCTGTGTTTTAAACACATTGTTGTAAACTCTGTTGTACCATCAGATTTACAAATCATTTTATGTGATCACAGTTATAAATAAGTTCTCAGCAAGGTCGTTTATGGTTTAATCAAAGACTTAGTTACAAAAGTTGCAATATGTTAATATTTTTATGTGCTTATACATTTTTACTCATTCCAGTGTTGTATATAAAGTTCCGTCTTCCAATCGGTGCTTGTTCGATGTCCATCTTTATAGTTGACTGTGATTTTACAAGTACTAAGCAATAATCAGATAATAAGTGTTGAATTTGAGTTTTTAAATTAGAACTATTTCTTTTGGTTATCGTTTTCATGCCCCCAGTACACTCTCGCCTCGCCTCGGCGAGCGTTGGCGAATGCGAGAGTGTACTCGGTGCGCTCGTCTTCTCTCGCCTTGACTCGGGTCGCCTCGCCTCGCCCAGCCTCGTGCTCGTCGGCGCTCCGTCAGGAGTCGGTTTTTTGACACGAGTCAAAGGACCCGAGACTGCACGAGTGGCGAGCGCTACTTCCACATCGTTTGCCTCCATTTTGACTGCTAGACAAAGCGAGAGTGTATACAGTTACCTCGTATAAGTTCTCGCCCGAATTACTCGGCGAGCGCCTCGGCGAAGTGTCTCGGCGAGAATGTACTGGAGGCATCAAAGATTGCATGAAAGTTAAATTTTCCATTTACTTTAATCCATTTCAATGGCTAGAGCTCCTCGCTATCCGACCAAGGATTTATAGAGTCATCTGAATGACCAGAATATTCAACCATTTAACTGTGTTTCCGCTTCCACCTAAGCATCTTTTTTTACTTGAGTCAAAAACTCTTCTCATAGTATTTTGTCTTTCAGCATACTGTAGGCTCATTTTGTTGTGTGTTTTGCTAATTTTTATGCATTTGTGTTAAATGTGGTCCAACATCCAAGTATTATGAGGGGTTCTAACGTTAAAGGTGATTTTTATTCATAGTGTACACTTATTATATCATACATTCAAGTAGAATATTTCAAATAGCTATTGTTGAATAAATTACGAATATTTATTATGTTTTAGTTAATGTTTAGATGTTGAGATTTGAAATGTTTTTTCTTTCAAACTTATGAATTAGTGAGTTCCTCTATATATATGTACCGGTAATAAAATTGTCATGTACAATGTAGAAGTGTTGGTTAGATGACTAGGATATATTCAGACTTCAGGTGGCATTTTGAATATAAGAACTATATTTATAGCATTGTACTATTAAGTGTTTAACTGAAATAATGAATGTACGTTTTTGATTGATTCAAGGCATTTTAAAACTCTACATGTTTTTTATATAATTCGTGTTACAGCTTCATAATTTTATAATTTAATTAGCGTTTTTTTTTATTTTTTTTTTATTTTGATACTGAATCTATTTTTAATGTTATTAGGCATACTATTATTCATCACATTTTTGTAATTTTTGTTTTATTGTAAAATAGATAATAAAATCTATTGAAAACTTAATTTGGGCCATTATCATTCCTTTCAAAAACCCAGTTTATCCATTGCTTAGACATTTTGGAATTATTTGTAAATACCTTCAAATTTCAAATACAGTCATGTTGATGACTATCAGTAATATCACTTAAAGATGCATCTGTATATGTGCTTCATCATCACAATAATTGTTATCATACTCCTGATTTAGAATAGGTTCAATGATAATATGTGTTGGTGTGCCTTGTGTTAGTGATATTATTGAGTCATGTCTCTTTTACTACACTCCTGTTTTTGTTCTACAAATACTCCTCCTAAACGGCTGAAGCGATCTGCACGAAATTTAGCCCAGTAATAGTAACCAACCATGGGAAGGTATAAATCTGAATGGTACAAATCGAACCACAGGGCTTTTCCCTTGTGAATAAAAAAAAATTAGAAATTTAACATGGGCCTTATGGGTTAATTGGTCGCCATGACATTATTTGCGAGATAACAATAAAACGGTAAACAAGAGTCACAACATATGATAGTCAACGCATCATCTAAAATAGCACATTACAAATACCGTGCAGAAAAAAAGGGTAGAACAATCAGGAGAATAGAAGAATTAGGCTGATGCACCATTGACTTTAAATACTCCAAATAGTCATTCCATTTGTGTGAACCAAATGTAGGCCTACCGGCCTACCATTAAGTTTAGATACTGCAATTTATGTGAACTAGAATAGAATAGAATATTTTTTTATTTTTTCTTTTCAGGTCGGATACATAAACTAGACGTCATTACTACAGATTTTGAATAGGTACTGAAAATAGGAATTCCATTAATGTGAACCATTGAGTTTGGATACTGCAAATAGGCACTTCTTTTATGGGAATCAAATATACTATTGTCATTGAATACTAAAAGTGTATGTATAAGATGTAGTTTCTCTAGACTTAAGAAAAGTATTGTATTAATATAGAATGTACTTCTATTAATATACAGGGTGATTGGTACTCAGTGTGACAAGAAAACAATTTTTTGGTGTAAGTACAAAGTAAATGCAGTGTGATGATGCATATAAAATGTTCCAAGTCTAAAAATTAGCTTCCCAAAAAATTATTTTATATTTTTCAAAAATAGCTATGATTTTAAACTTAATACAGTTATTTCTCAATTACCTGTAAATGGATTTGAGTAGATAATGTCATTTTCGTGTTCTACATTAAATTTTGAATAAGAATAATGGAAAATTACAGGGATCAGTTGTAAAAACTCCATTGTAAATAGATTCAAAGATAAAAATTAAGATGTTTGATAAATATTTTAAAAACATTGGTCAATTGCATTTATTCACACCCTGTATACAAGAAAGTGTCGGATTATGTTAAAAACTGTGCCATTTTATAAGCTTTCCAACCATATGCTACATCATTGAGCTTTATGTCTGCTTATGTACGCTTTAGTGGTTTGAAGACTACAAAGCATGGTGTCTTTAACATTTAAAACATAGAAAATCGGCATGTATTAAGCAAAAGTTGTATTTTTGTTTCAGCTTGAACAGTAAAAACAGTAAAAAAAGTTCCTTGCTTTCTGGTATTCAAACCACTAAAACAAACAAAAAAATATCTAAACCTCAATACAACTACTCAATAGTACTCAATATGCTACTCAATAGTGTAGCATATGGTTGGAAAGCTTATAAAATGGCACAGTTTTTAACATATTTGGACACTTTCTTGTATACAGAGTGTAAAAAATGCAATAGACCATTGTTTTTTAAATTGTTATCAAACATCTTAATTTTTATCTTTGAATCTATTTACAATGGTGTTTTTACAACTGATCCCTGTCATTTTCCATTATTCTTATTCAAAATTTAATGTAGAACACGAAAATGACAATATCTACTCAAATCCATTTACAGGTAATTGAGAAATAACTGTATTAAGTTTAAAATCATAGCTATTTTAGAAAAATATAAAATAATTTTTTGGGAAGCTAATTTTTAGACTTGGAACATTTTATATGCATCATCACACTTCATTTACTTTGTACTTACTGTACTGTCTGTAAACTGATTATGTTGATATTATTGTTTATCAGCTGGGTTATTTGTTTGTTTTTGTTTGTGTGTTTTGATTGACTTGAACGGGAATAAAATTATGTTCTAATGTGTTAGTTTTATTTTATGATTTAAAAATAGTACAAATGGCGAAGAGGAGGAGGAAGGGTGAGAGACACCAGGAACTAGTAGAAGAAGGTATATTTACATCCAGTCAACCTCTTTTTTGTTCTAATTTCGATAAATTCGATGAGGAGAATGAGACATGGAGTACATTCATGGTAAGGTTAGACAGCTTTTTTGACCTAAACGGAATCATGTCAGAATTAAAGAAAAAGCAGTATTTGATCAATGTGTTAGCGCCTAAAGTATTTCAAGACCTGAGAATTAGTCTCAGCCCATGTAACATTCAGGAAAAAAGTTATGACGAAGTGTGTGAAGCTTTACAATTATTACTGGAACCTAAGGGAAGTATTATCGCAGAACAACATACCGGTAAGTTCACTAAACGAATCCAGAATCCGTGTGAATCTGTAGGCAGCTTCGCCAAAGATCTCAAAACCTTAGCCAGTAAATGTGATTTTAAATGTCCAAAATGTAATGCATCAACATCTGACGTTCACCTGCGGCAACAGTTCTAATGAGTTAGTTTTATTTTATGATTTAAAAATAGTACACTTACACCAAAAAATTTTTGTCACACTGAGTACCAATACCAAGTTATGGAGAAATTTTACTATCTCACAGTTTTTGGAGAAAATTGTGATCAAGTGCCAAGATGATCTTGCTAGGTTCTAACGTTCTAACACAGAGTAGTAAGGTACAGAGGAAACATTCAAGGTACACTTAATTGGTGTCTAGCACTAGTTGCTGGTGACTAGGGTAAAATCCAACTCCCCGCGCTTCTCCTAATCCCTCACGCCTCATGTACTACAACGCTCACTTTGGAAGAAGGCCCTGTGAGATAGGAACTTCCGCATAGTGTATGCACACGCATGGTCGTCCAAGCAAGTTTCCTATGTACATACTTCTCTGTGGTTCTAACTATAAAAAAAAATACATAACAAAGATTAAAATTACAAAATCCCTAGTTGATAAGGCAGTACAATTCATATGCATTTCTCCGGAGACTATAGATATAGTTGGTCTTGGAAAGGTGTGTCCTTCATAAGGCTGATTTTTGTTAAATTACAACACAAATACTTATAATTTTAGTTAGAATTTGCACTCACCATTATCTCTTTGAGTCTTTGGAGGCAGAATAGGGGGCAATATTTACTGAGAACAATGCTTCAAGTGCTAAGAAGCAAAGAAAGTAGGTTTGCAATATCAATATTATTATAGGATAAATTCGTTATTGTAACACTTACCTATACGCATGATTAAAATCCTCACCACAATAATTTCCTGCAGCCAATCAACTTCACTTTGGATTAGTAGATTGAAAGTTGTTCCTTCATAGAAAGT